ACTGCATTGCTTGAGTGAGCACTATATGCTCATCCAGTAGCATCGACGCTTCCTCAGAGCCCTTCAATATGTAAGTACCAGTATTACGATAAGTCTCTCTACAGTCGAACTCGACCGTTTGCCAAGCCTCCTGCATGCCTCTCAGCTGTTTCTCAATACTGAACTCCTTAGCACTTCTCTCGCCAACCTCCGCTACCTTATCCGTCACTTTGAGGATGCCCATGCCCAGTAGTGCCTCCAGATTGAAGTTCGTGCTCCCATCCATATTATCATCAGCATAGCTCGGACCAACCTTAACCGGTTCCTCGTCCTCCCGGGCCAACAACTGCCCTACAGCCTCCCAATGCCTCTCCCTCATGCCGGGGTTCCTCAAGGCCATCACTATAGGGACGTACGGTTCGAAATCTTCCAACTGCTTCTTCACCTCGCCTGCCACCTCAATCAACGTAGCGTTCTCCGGAGTAGAGCTCAGCTGTCGGAGGATCTTATGCAACTGTTTTCCTCCCGACCCGACTTTGTTGTCCATATCTCCAGCATCAATACTATCAAAGCGACCATGGCGCCACTTGGGCTCATCGAGTACCCAATCATGAGCAATTTTCCAAAAGTTATTATAAGGCTCCCATTCCTTGGCCAAAGTCCCGACCCTACTGTAATCAGTAACCTCCTCAACCCCCAGTAGCACCTCCCTCGCATTGAACTGCTTCGCTGCCGTACTTGCGTCCCTCAGCCGCTCGTTAACAGACTGAGCGTTAGCGTATATTTCATGACACTTGCTGAGGTCATTGAACCGATAAAAGGTGAGGATAGTGCCTTCTATATCGTCCAGAGTCTCCAAGAAAAGTTCCATCTCATCTGCCATATCCTTAGAAAACCCCTTCTCAGTGAGAGCCCAATTCTCCCTAGCTTGTTCGAGCTCCGTATCAATATCCTTCGGCACTTGGAAAATACGCCATCGTTGCCTCACATCATCCGGGGTTAGCTTTACGTTAAACTTCTCTAAGGCCTCATGGATCCTCAACGCGGCTTCAATATCAGTACTCATCTTCACCATTAAACTTGGCAACTGGGTTTCGGCGTATTCCTTCAACTCTGCCAGATGTTCGATCGACTCTGCCGTTTTCCTCAATATCGTAGATATGCCTTGGCACTGCGAAATGATCTGCTCACAACTAGCTCTATACCTTCT